GTGCCGTGCGCAAGACCCGGAAATAGAGGGTCAAGAGAAGAGGTGCCAGGTCGAGCCGAAGGTCCCACCATTATCCCCCAACAACCCTAACAACGGCACGTTCACTACCAGGTGTGAAAATCGGTCTAGAAATGTTTATTTTCTCTAGACCCTTGGTTTTTGATTTTTTTTTACTGAGGCGTAGGTATCAAATTAGAGAGAGAGAGAGAGAGAGAGAGAGAGAGAGAGAGACAAGGAGAGATATGCAGAGAGAGGCAGAGGAACAGGGAGAGAGAGAGAGAGAGAGCGCGCGACAGACAGAGAGATAGCTAGAAAAGGCGATAGAGAGCAAGGGAAACCGGGACAATTTACTACGGGAGCGATAGAACGTGAGAAATGATGCGTGAGATAGAGCGAGAAAGAGAGAAACAGAGAGAGAGATAGAGAGAGAGAGAGAGAGAGAGAGAGAGAGAGAGAAAGAGTACGTGCGAGCTAGATAAATAGCGAAAGCTCCACAGCCCCAAACTTACAGTTGTCAACTTCCGATGCAGTTGCCCCTGCTGCCTCGAAGCCTTCCGGAGCGGCAGCCTCAAACTTCTTCGGATAGCTGTCGACAACCGGGCGAATGAGCCTAGAAAAGAGAAAAAATGTCGATAAATTCTCAAAATCTAATTTCAGAATCTGAAACCGATAAACAATTACCATCAGCATTCCTCATCCCGCGATTAATCGGCGCCGGGGCGAGATCGCCCTCAATCGAGTCGCCCTCCTCATCTGAAGGGTAGGCCATTTTTCAGCCTTAATGGCGTTTCTTTGTCCTTATATCGTAGTCCGATAGCAGCAGATCCGGAGGTTTTGAAGCTCCTGAAATTTGCATATTGTTTGGAATGTTTGGAAAAACATCTAGAAAGACAAGGAGACGGAGGATTTTTTTAGAAGACAAGGAGAAACAGCCAGAAACCGGCAGACAAAATACCGACAGTCAAAATGCCGATGGCGAAAATGCCGACACGCAACCCATCGAATCGTAATGTTTTTTGTGTGTAAAATTACGATTAGGCACATTTAGCCTTTGTCGATCGAGATTTCCAGAAAAAATATGGGATTATCGTAACTTCATCAGCCCTTTAAAATCGGAAAAAAAAGACAGCGCGCGAAAGCGCGTACGATTTTGAACCCGGCGCGATTTCGAACCCTTTTCAACTCCTTCAGCCCCTCTGAAAGGCGATTATTTTCCATCTTTTGATCCGAATGAATCAGAGAGCAACGGCGTAACTTACGAAAAAAAGTATCGTGAAAAACTAGACGGGAACTCGTCATTTTCCGGAATGTTACGGAATTCACGGAAAGCTACAGTACTTTTAAGATAGACCAGCTAATTCTAAGTTATATAAATTAGCTTTTGTAGCTTTTTCTCATTTCAAATAATATGACGTATTTAGATTCTTTAGTTTTACATTAAATCCTTCCAGACGAGAAATTAGATATCGTAATACCTAAAATTCGAAGAATATTTTTAACATGAAAAAATGACTTTCAACGTTGCATAAAAAAGTTTCAAAAAATTTAAAAATTATTTTCATCTTAAAAAAATTGTAGAAATTTCTTTTATATAGACTTTTCGGAAGCAAACATATAGCAAAGTGCTTTGAGTGAGCCGGGAAGTGCTTTTGGGTGGCTGATAAGCCCGAACAATATCGCAAAGTGTGAATAGAGACCAACAATTGGTCTCAACCGTCCAGTTCAACGCAAAAATTCTATTTTTAAAAATTGTAAAAATAAGTTTTATTAAGTTGATCAAACCTCATCAGCAGAGCCCAAAGATAAAACAATGCGTTTTTTTGAGGAGAGGGGGATAGTGGAAATGGAAGAGAAGCCGCTGGGGGGAAATGATAGCGAATGGTGGCGAGCCGTTGATCCCGGGGTGCGTGTCAATTTTAGGGGATCGTTGATTGATTGCGGGGACACTTTTGAGAGGGGGCAGCAGAACGATACCTTTAAGCTTACAATAGCTATAAAAATGGCAGAACTTTACCTTACCCCCCTCCCTGCCGGAGGTTCCCAAAAGTTTTTTTTGCTATAACTTTTTTAAATTACATACATTATTTTAGGCTGTAATTAAAAATCTTCGTATATTTCTTGATGCTTTATCGATTGACGTAGCCAAAATCCCGACAAAATGCCCGGAATGCCGAAAAATTTTGGTCTTTTCCGGCTGGGGGGAAGAAAATCTAGCCATAAAAATACCGACACTGCCGGTCGACAGCTCGTGGTGTCGACATTCATAATACCGACACTTTGTGATGCCTACATTCGGAATGCCGACAGCACTTAATATCCATATCCAATACCAACAGTTCGTAACGACTCCGCTCAGAATGCCGACAGTTCCTACTATCCACATTCAGAATACCGAAGGTGGCAATACCGACACGGATCATTTTGACAATTTATAATACCGACGTTATTAATAGTGACCGTTCGTAGGCTCTAACCTTAGAATGCCGAAAGCCCGCATATTTCGACAAATAATTCCGACAATTCCTGATACAAACAACCAGAATCCCGACATCAGCGACTCTCGGCAATACCGACAGATGGCGTGGTTTTTTAGATGTATTTAGATTTTAATAGTTTGCATGCGGTTTTTTTGCAAAACTGTAAAAAATATGATTTTGTTAACACCCTTGAATTCGAAGGTTTTAAGTAAGGTGAAAAGATGGAATTTGTTTCATAGCTTGGAGCTGAGCGAAAGAGGTTTAAGATGCCAGTCCCGGAAACCGCATGTGTGTAAAATGGCCATGCCGCGCCCAGGGCGGGCGCGCTGTAAGGAAACTTGGTGATAGGTGTCAGCTAGAAGCGGGTACCACTGTAGATTTAATAGTATGCAATGAAAGTATAAATATCGGCAAATTCTGGGTTTTCTATGTAAAATAGTCAAGCAGGAAAATATACCTATATATTACTATAAAATTAATAAAATTGAGCAACGATATAAAAATGACCTAATCTTAACATGGTCTCGGCAAAAAAAAATTGTTTATGAGGTCAGCCAATTAGAATTGATACCAAAAACACGCTATAACGTTAATAAAAGCAGGAAAAGTATGAAAACTACCAATTTTAATATTTCCTGGGTAAAAACATTCTGATAAATTAAGAAAATAAAGCAAATATGTAACAAAGACGACGTTTTATGAATTACTAGGCAAGGTATAGGAGCCATATATGAACTTATATATACCTTCAGTGCTCCTTTAAAATGAAATTAGCCACAAATAGTCGACTGTACCCACTGAAAGAGAGAGCACCCGAACACTCGAATTTCATCAAAAACATTCCCTTTTATCACCCGACGAACGTTCGGCCCGCGTACGAGCCGATCGAAAAGCCATCAATAACAGAGTGCCCCCGGAGATAATCCTGAATAATAAGGATTACCCGTTTTCTGTTATTGTTAGGTCACCGTTAGTAGACATATTCCGCGCTGGTGTATGAGCGCCCAAAGCTGGAGTAGAGTTGCCGGAACTTTGTCGCAACAGTTGTTTTCGGGATTGCTAGCCAGAATGCCGTTAGTTAAAATGCCGACAAACAAAATGCCGACGAGTCAAAATCCTCCACAGAAAAATTCCCAAATTTTAGGTCAAAGTTGCAAGAATGGCAAAAAATTACAGTCACAAAATTCCGGGGATTTTTGCTGATAATGCCGACAGCACAATGCTAACAGAGAAATACCGCCGATAAAAATGCCGACGGCCAAAATGTCAATAAAAAAATGCCGACAGCAAAAGTCCAACATTTTTGGGGTGAAGCTGCTAGAAATCAAGAGCTACAGTACCGCGGTTTGGGGATGTTCAGCAAGAATATTGACTGCCAAAGCGCCGGCAGTAAAATGCCGACAAACCAAAACGGCGACAACGAAATGCCGACATTCAAAACGCCGACAGCAAAAATATCGACAGCAAAATTCCGAAATCCTGGGAAGAATTTGCAAGCATTCTGCGGCTATCGTTTTTCGGGGGATTCTTAGCAAAAATTCGGACAGCTAAAAAACCGACAACCAAGACACGGACAGAGAAGAATCAAATAACGACAGCCAAAATGCCGACAGCAAACTGCCTACAGATTTACTAGTCAAAGATATTAATAAATACAGATAATCTAATTAGTATAAAAAAATCTAGAAATCAAAGTTCTTATTTTCTATGCAAAATCCAGACGGGAAGCTCATAAAAACGCTCATAAAACCTCAACGCCAAGGCACCGTCGATGACTCATCATGTTTGCTTCACCGGCTAGCGCCTTGGCCGTCCGCCAATGCAAAATACTAAACCCCACCGGGCCAGGGTCAAAATTTGAAAGATCCGATCCATCGCGCGGGCAGCCGAGCGCGCGTAGGCTATCCCCCCGGTGAGCAGACCTGCTCTTCCTCCTCCTTTCCCCGTGCCGCTTTCAAATTCTCTCATTTCCGCACGCTAAATCCCAACTTTCACCCCAACAACAGCTCTGGCCGGGACGGGCCTTCCCGCGAGCCTTGCACGCTATTTCGCGCCCCTGTCGCGTGGGAGTGTCCGGGTTGCCAACCCATTATTCCCCCCTGCTGGCCGGTCAGACCCGCAGAGCCCCCTCATGAAATTTCACGTGTAATTCGCTGCGACAGGCTTCGGGTGAAAAACTGTGTTTTGAGAGCTGTGCGCGTTTTAGGGCGGTTTTTTTGGGTATCTATTTGTTGTTAAGGAACAAAAATGTTGCAGAGATCAAATTTAGCATAAATTGTCGTTTTCTTTGCATGGATTATCAACTTTAGCTTTGGAAAAAGCGGAATCACGCTAATTTTTTTAAAAAAAAACGAAGAAATCGTTGCATTAACGGAGCTTTGCGTAGCTGAGCATATCCGCGCGTAATCGATTCACCTGGACCGTTTTTAAATTTTTCCTACTTTATAAAGTTTTTAAACTCTGTTTTTTGGGGGATTTTGCTCTTTGAAGAAAGTAACAAACTTTAAAACACATTTTTTCAGAATGGACTCTGACGAGGAGTTTTTCTCGGCCTCCTCCGGCGATGAGCAAGATTTTCCGAAGAAAGAAGTCACAAAGCGTGGGTTTTGCTTCTTGCAATGTCTATTATTTTGATGCATTTTCAAATTTGTATATGTTTTTTAGCTTCTACCCCACCTCCACAGCCTAAACCTGTCGAAAAACCGAAGGAAGAGCCCAAGAAAACAGCGGAACCTGTGAAAAAAGAGGTCCGGCTTGAGGGAAAACCGAAGGTGGAGCCCAAAATGATTGTCGAGTCTGTGCTTATCGAAGAAAACGTGAAGGTTGAGATACGAAAAGGTTCATCTGACGAGTCGGGTATGTTATTACCAAAAATTATATGATTTTCACTTTAAGAAGCCTCGATAACGATCAACGAATCGGAGAAGGAGAGCCAATCCAGCGAGGATTTTGTGGTGGCCGATATTCCGCAGCCCATCACTTCATCGGGTATTAAAACTAATGCTTCTATATAAAAGAAACATCTTTAGAATCCGGCGACAGCAAATCTTCCAGCAGCCGAAGCGCTGAAAAGGAGTGCTCAAATTCGGCAGATGATGATGCGGAAGCGACGGCGGATGGTTGGGAGGATTGGGATTGTGAGTTTATCTTTGATTTTTGATATTTAACTTAGCTTTTATCCAAAACTGTAGTGTAGGAGAATTTGGCGTTAAATTTGGCCAAATCTAAGTTCTAGATACGTCATAATATTAATTACAGCGTTAAAACTTGCATTAATAGTTTTTTTCAGCCGAAGCTCCAGAAAAAGAGGCCAAAGACGAAAAGAAGGAAGCTAAAAACGGCAGCCAGCGACAAGAATCCACCGAGGAAGAGGACACGAATTGGGATTGGGGCACGGAGGGCTGGAAGGAAGAGAAGTAAGTTAAATTTGTGCCTTTAGCGCAATAAAATTGTCTGTAAGTGTTTAAAGTTGCAAAACAATTTTTATAGGCCTTCCGAGCCCGTAAAAGAGGAAAAGAAGGGCCCGCTGAAGCTGGGAAAGCCCGCTGCGGCTAGCGATCCAATCGGCTGGGGTGGATTTGCTAACGTAATCGGTTAGTCCTCACTTTCAAATTTTTGTATTTCAATTTATTGTAGGAAAAAGCTTTTCCTCGGCGGTGGAGAGCACCTTTGGACTACCCAGTGCTGAGGAATTTGCTCAACAAGCGAGCATAGCTGATGAGAAAGCTGAAGCCGAAGAACTGGCCGAGAAGGAGAAGCCGCCGAGAAGCGCTTTTGAAGCCTTGGCAGGTTTGGGTTTTTCATAATAATGGTTTAATAACTGTTCAATTAATTTCACAATGAGTTATACCTTTTTAGAAGGCCCGAAGCCCGCCCCGGTCCCGGCTTTCGGCCTATTTTCCGGGCTTGTTACTGGCGGTCTAGACGCGCTGGAAGCTATCGGAAAGAAGACGTTCGAGACGCTGACCGTTAAGGATAAGGTGGTTTAAAAATATAATTTAATCGTATATATTTCTAGGCCGGTAGAAGCCGTCTTTTCTTCGATCAATCAAGCGAGGAACCGCTCTCCGATTTGTTGAAACGAATCAAAGACGAGCAAGCCCGCTCCCAGCAGCAAATACGGTAAGAAAATAGTTTTTTTGTTAATTTAGGCTTTAATAGTTTCGTGATTATTCTAAGCTATTAAAGTACCGTTTTAGCGCCGTCGCCGACCGGCCGCTCGACTTTTTCACGGCCATCGGCGAGACGACAGCGATGCAGAATATTGAGGCCCTCGAGCTGTTGACGGGAGCAAGCGGAATCCCGACAAATTCCAAGTAAATTTAGTAATTTTAATTATAATGCGGTTTTAGAAGCGTCAACGTCCTCCTCGAGCAAATCATCCCCAAATCCCTGCCGACTGCTACCGATTTTACGCGCGAATTCCGGAGATTTTTGAAGAATATCTGCTCCCTCGACCCGTCGCCGATTTTGAAGATGCGTGAACGGGTGAGTTGTTTTTCTTAATTTTCTGCTTATTGGGTGTTATTTTATTTTTATATATGTGTTAACTTTCTAGGCCTCAAAAACGCTAGCTGACGCTAAGGATTTGGAGCCAAAAGAAGCCTACACAAAATCGCTATCAGCTTTGGTGTCGATTACTGAAGCCTTCGTACAGGTAATAAAGTTGTATTATTTAAAGTAAGAAAAATTTTCTTAAAAGGGCTTAGGGTCAATATTAACAAAACAAAAAAATCGCTAGGAAAACATGAAAAATGTCTTTTTAAATGCTGTAATAAGTAGAATGTCTTTTTATGAATTTTGAAAATAGCTTTTTATAGATCATATTATTAATTCTCTGGTTAAGATATTGCAGGAACTATTATATACGATTCTGTTTAGCTCCTCGCCAAGGTGACGCAACTCCGATATTCTGCTGGAGACAAAGTGCCCACCGACGGCTTCATCCAATTCTGCTGCGTGCTCAAAGGGGCGCTCGCCGAGTTTGAGAACGTTTCCAGCGAGTTGCCGGCCGGTCAATACTTTGTGAGTTTTTGCGCAAGTCGGCGTCAGAGTTGCTTATCTGGCTGCACGATCGCGGGAACACACACGACCCTGAAAAAGCGTGCTATACTCTGTTGTGTAGATTTTTTGCCGCAAGAAATTTCGAGGATAAAATTAGGGAATAAAATGCGCTTTCCATACCCATCTTTTTAATGAATTCGGGTCGTCTTTTTTGCGGAAAGAAATTTCGCAAGAAAAATTCGCGAATAGATTTTTTTTTCGTCAATTCAGAGTGTCGATCACCGCATAAAAAAGCCGCCCTTAATTCCAGGTTTCAACTGTCAGTTTGAATTTAAAGAAAATGGATTTTGAAAAACGCGTCGTTTTTTTAATTAATGAATTGGATTCGCCTGTCGCAGCGCTGAAAAATTATAGAGGCCAGAATATTGTGTGCTAATTTCTGCGGCAAGGAGTTTCGCAAGGCAGAAAACGGGTGATTTCAAAATTTTCTCTCTTGTCCAGAATTTTTAATAAATTTTACAAGACATTTTTTTGCAGGGCGAAGACGTGGCCACGCGGTATATGGTCGATTGCCAATCCGCCCAAGAACTCCTCGAGCGCATCTTCCGACTTTCCGTTACCGTACTCTGTGCATAATTTTGACACTTTTTTTGCACAATAATTGATTTTTTGTGAAATTATAACCCCTTAAATACCTATAATGGGCCCATTATCCTGCCCGCGTATGCCATTTCCGGTCATCATCAATGTATTACGGTCCTTGAATTCGTTTAACTAGATTTTTCCTCTCGATAATCGCAAACTTCTACCCCAGTGCCTCTGTGTTAACCCCGGGAATATGTGATATTTTTAGCATTTTTGCGTGATAGTACTTCCTTTTTACTGTGCCTTGCGTCGGATTTTTGAATAAAGTTTTATGAATTAATTTTATTCCTTTACGTATTTTTAGTGAGGCAATCTCTCATAGATCTCTGTATTTTTCAGGAGTTTCGAATTTATGCAGAAAACGAAGATGTAAATTCATATTCTACGATTGTTGGCAAGATATAAAAAAACTTGTTCTATCTTTCGAATTTTTGACGATTCTTCGAGGTTTTGAACTTTGACTGACTTAGAAAATAGCTTTTAGCATTCGATTCGTGGAAAGATACGGTTTCCGGTTGAAACCGATGAAAATCATTGGTTCTCTCTCAAATTCAATACTCGTAAAATTCCAGGTAATGAACTTCCTGCGGACGGCCGCCTCGCTGGCGTCCAACTCGCCGGCCGCCCAGCAGCTGGTCCAGAATTTGGCAGGGCGCACGGCTGCTATGTTCCAGCGAGAAGCCAAAGATCTCGAGGTATGGTAATTACCTTAAATTATGACATTTTTATTTCTTAAAATGTACCGTTTCAAAAAAGAGCGTACTACTTTTTAATTTTAATTCGAGTAAGCTCAAGGAATTATATTTTTAGATCAGCACCATCAGCGAGTCCGCGCTGAAAAGCTTGATTCTGCTCGACAGTAATGCGACGACGTCACTATACAAAGTACGTAATTTTACGAAGCGAAAATCGGTGTGTTTTAGAATTCTGCCAGCTTTCAAGTCATCTACAGGCCCACACGAAAAGTGTTGCTCAAAACGCCAAATGAAGCCGAGGGCAAAATCATGGCCAACCGGCTGAATATGCTGTTTGGTGGGGTGAATGAAGGTAATTATCGATTTCTTAATAAAAATAACGGTTTCTAAGATCCACTGAAGCCACTCACCGACGCCGAGCTGGTCAAGATTGCCGGGATGGCGCTGAAAAACCCGGATTGGAGTGAAGTAAGAATTTTTCGATAACACGAAGACATATTTTTCTCAGGTACATCTCGCTTGCGCGCTCGGCTTGGTGCGGACGCTGAAGAGCAGCTTCCAGCAGAATGGGCTCGTGTGAGTTGCTGTAATTTTCGTGCCCGTGAAAATTCCTAGACGTGATTAGCTAGCCGACGTCTTCTCGGCATCTGGCGGTTAGCTTTAGTAGTTCTTGAAAAATGCCTAAATGCTCTCTGTTAGCCCACATCTTCGAGACGTTCAGCTCTTAACTTCAACGCTCTTCGGAAAAATACATGATTGATCTCTGAAAGGCGGCGTTTTGGAGGCGTTCAGCTATTTGTTGCACTCGCTCTCATGAAGATTTCTAAACGGGCTCTGTTCACCTATTTACCTACTTCAATGGTCCTTTAAAACCACATTTATAGCTTGGTGAACACACCAACGGCCGACCCGAATTCCGCCGTCTTTCCGCTTCACATCGCCTGCGAGCATAATCAGGTAATCATAGTTTGGCTAGCATTAATCTTAAAAAATGAAAAAAGCATAATGGTTATGAGAATAAATTGTTTAGTACGAAGCCGCAATGCTCTGCATCTCTGCCGGGGCCAAGCCCGAGAAGCTTGGGTCGAGGGGCGAGACGGCCTACCATGTGGCGGCGCGAAGCGGGGATTTACGGCTAATGCAGGTATGGTAGGGTTACGGTATTTAAGTTGTGATTTAGGCATTGTTAGCCTACAACTCGGCCGAAGCCATCAGGGTCTGTGTTGATGCTGAAGATTTGCACGGGTTTACGCCTTTGCAAGAAGCCATTCGGAATGAGAATTTTGATGGGTTGAAGGTGAGAGAGAGAGAGAGAGAGAGAGAGAGAGCGAGAGAGAGAGAGAAGACTCTATTTTGAATTTTTTTCAGAAAATTCTCTCCGACCTACAAGCCTGCCGCAACGCCAAGAAACAAGTCCTCGGCTGCCTGGTTGGATATCAAATCAAAAACTACGAGACCTGGAAATAGTAAGTTTCCGGAATCCTGGCCCTTTATATGCATTTTCCAGTATCGCGCAGCTGATCTGCGCCCCGCAGCTCGACTGGCTGATCCAGATGAACAGCTCCGGCGACGCGGTGCTGCACCTGAAGCTGGAACCGGATGTGGGTTACGGTAGATCGGTACAAAAAATTTTATTCAGGTTTTGCGTGTGATCTGCTCGTACGCCGATTCCGGAACTTTGGAGCTACCAAATGGGCGTGGGATGACACCGCTACAAGCCGGTAATTAGATCTGAAATTGGGGCAGGCCGGCCGAGATTTTTGGGGAATTTAGTAATATAAAATTCTCTCCTATAAATGTGCCACAACCTGGAGAAATAGCTACAGTATTTCTACAGTAATTTTAAGCTACTCTTTTTTTAGCTATCGCCCGCGACGATCTGGCCGCTTGCGTCTGTTTCGTGTCCTTTGGAGCCGATGTGAACAAGCGAACGCAAGAGTCCTGTATCCAGTTGGCATTAAAGGTAATTTTTACAATAATGGGATACCATTATTTCCTACAGTACGCCAGCCCAACAGTTCTGCAACTGTTGATCCTGCTCGGGGCGAAAATGGAGGGCAACGACTCGCAGCTGGTCAACCAAAGGGATAAGGCTTACATGTGGGTTTTGAGGGTTTTTGGATTCGAAAAATACGTGCTAAATTTAAGGGTCGTGTCCAAAATGTTTCGTTACATTAAATTTTGTAAAAATTGAGTTTTTAGCGAGCAAATCCGGAAAATGTTCAGCGGAAAATTGGAGCCAAGTTTGGATGCCGCGATGAGGGCTCATTTGTTATCGGGTAGTTTTTTTCATAATTTTTAATTTTTGATACATCGTGAGTTACGCAAGCGCTGATACGATACGCATGGATACGCAAAATGCACAACTATATGCTGAATTTTGACTATAGAAAATACGATCCGGATCCGTGACGCCCTTCTGAATACGGTGCCTTCAAACAAGCAGCTTGCCATTTCACTTGATGGTGGTGGAATTCGAGGGTTGGCTGAGGCTCAGGTAACGTAGATGAACGTAGCGTTGTATTCGTACAATATATTGTGTTGTAATCATACGAATTACGTTACGTGAAGGAAAATTATCATTGAATTTTTTGATTTTTAGATGCTCTTCGAACTACAGCGCATCTTAGGTGACTCGTTTTTGCCAAGAATCGAATGGCTGGGAGGTATAAAAATTCGTCTGTCTCAATTTTTATTGCTTTTTAAGGTACCAGCACCGGGTCGATTCTAGCCATCGGGCTAGCTCTTGGCAAATCACCGCAGGATTGCATCAGATTGTACCTCCGTTTTAAGGACGAGGTTTTTAGGGTGAGAAATAACTTTTTTATAATTTAATTCGGCTTAGATTATTTTAGTTGAATTCGATTACGCAATAGAATCCATTATTTTTAGGGCGATAGACCGTACTCGGAGCAGAACCTCGAAAAATGCCTACAAAATGAATTCAAGCTGAACGGGCAAGAATTGAGGATGGTGGACGTGAAGAAAAAGTAGGCCTAATTGATTACGGCATTATTGCAGTACTTTAGGCTCCTCGTGACAGCCGCTCAAACGGACGTCAGCCCAGCGGAAATTGTCGTATTCCGTAGCTACCAGCTGCCAAATGAGGCGCCAAAAAGCTATAAGAGCCTCGGGTCGGCGGGCGAGTTGAAGCTCTGGCAAGCTGCCAGGTGTTCGAGGTACGGTAGCTGGGGCAAGGGGTCAAAAACGGTTTTGAAAAGAGATCTGGCTCCAGTTTTCATTAGTTGCCGTTTCCCTGGGGTTCTTTGCTAACTTGCTTAATAAATTAAGGGACGCA